ATTTTTTTAATTACTGGTCTTATATAGTACGTTCACTTGCTTCTCACGATAGTTTTTTTATCGACTCAAATTGACACAATCAGCTTTCCATTTCTTAATGTCATTGTCATTTCTAGCGTGTGTTTTCTGATAAACATTATAAGTTTAATATATAGTAAATTTCACCTCATCTGTGAAATTTTTCGAACGTTCATACAAAGTAAACATATTTCTCTGATAGCAAATAATACATTTCTGTCCAAAGAACGATGACAGTATTACGTTATTGATTTATGACCTCGTTTTTATTCCTTTGTTTGAATTCTGTGCTGCGCTTACGCGGAAAAAAAAGTTTTTTATATATATCTAGAAATGTAGATTTAATGCTAAATTTTATAAAGTTACCGCGTTCTAGTCATTATAAATTACTGTGCGTAACCACAATACAGTGCTGTATTTGTAATGCTTTAGCCTGAACAACAGCATCAAGCACGAAATCGTGGACGTGAGAGAAAAGTGAATGTATAATATTGCATGTGAAGTGATAAACAGTCTTTCATTTGCAAGATGGCATCACGGCGTGGTCATGAAATCCCTTACAGAACTTCAAATTCGTGAGATCTTAAACCGAGGCGCTGATAGGCCTTATTTCTTTCACAGCATTAATTTTCTTGTGAAACAGACATGTCTCATCTCACATTCAAGGGACATATAATAACAATAAATGTATTTTATAGGTTTCAGGTGTCATCTCTTTCTTTTGTATTTATTTATTTTTTTCACGTCACTCTTTCATTAAATGTTTCAGCTTAAAAAATTCTCATGATAGTCATTTATAATAATTCTCTCTCAACACACTGCCATGTTTGGATCTTTACGGGATTTTTTTTTCCTTTTTTCCTCTTGAATTTTCAATGCTTAATTTCTCTAAATTTTGAGGTTAACCATAGCGACATTTAACGTTACCCATTTCCAAAATAAGAAACATATTTATTGCACATAGCAACAAATACTAATATACAACTAATAATAATAATACAGCTAAATAAGAAAAAATATTTTCAAAGTAAGATAGTATACTAGTTTTAGTCAGCAACAAGTACACCTGAACAAGATTAAGTCAGCGCCTTCGATTCACAAAATATGTTCAGTTCTTGTGTACAATGTCTCGGTACACCTCCATGACAAAAAGGTCTATGCTTCCGTTTTCTAGACACACTTGTCATTCTAGGTCCTGCAAAACATTCGCAGTTTTCTGATCAGTCGCTTTAAATCTGTTAATTTTAGGTAGGGTCTAAATTAAAACTTGAGATTTCAAGAAACCTTATAAAAACACATCTGCTCAGTAAGATCCAGAGTATCAAATAAGATCCACTGAATGTCACAAAATTGAGAAAGATGTCACTTGGGAAAATTCAACAGGACAGACACTTTTTTAATGTGAATATCTGACAACTTAAGTTTTCACTCACATCCTGCCTGACGTTAACATACTTAAGATTGCAATTTGTCACGAGCCTGTGAATACTACACAGTACACCCTACAGTGTGACATGATAAGTGTAAGATTTGATTATAAGAAGGACAACTCGAAGACATTGCATTGAAGAAGTGAAACCACTTTTGCAAAACTAAGACATATCTAACCGTGTTCATTTGTTCTTACTGTACAATAAACGTATTATCGTACTTTTGAAAATGGGTAATGTTAAATGCTGAAGCCTGTGTTATAGGGCATCTGAAAAACTTCCCAGCCATCTGTTAATGAAATTTGTTTAGAGTATAAGGTTTTTCTCCCGCCTTGCTAGCGTGCCTTCGTGGTGTAGTGGTCAGCACACTGAACCGGTATTTCAGAGGTCCATGGTTCGATTCCGGGTGAAGGTGTTGCTAATTTTTCAATCTCTTTTGCTTCCAAAAAATCCTAATGTGTTTACAGTGGCGACCAAACTACACTCATGTCCATAAATTAAGGATAATGCAAAATCAGGCAAAGGAAGAGTTAGAAACAAAACAAATTTGACTTATTTGTAAAGCTTATATATTAAACAAAAGGTAAAGAGCAAAAAAAAAAAAGATGCTATATGTTTGATATTATTAAAAAAATTAGCGACTTTTTCTCCCTGGAGCAAATTACAAAAAAAAAAACGCCTATTTAAAAAAAACCAATATTGCATGGTTGGTATGATTGTTAATACATTGTATGTCTCCCAGACGATGCAATGCAGTCCGTACAACGCCTAGGCATGCTGAGTATCGAATTATCGATCTGATCTTGGAGGATATTACACCACTCAAAAAGCAATGCTCTCCGAAGTTCTGGTAGACATATAGGAGGAGGTTGACGGGCTGCAACTCGTCGGCCAAGCATGTCCCACACGTGCTCTACTGGATTCAAGTCCGGTGAGAATGTTGGCCAGTCCATACGGGTGATATCCTCCGATTAAAGGCATTCGCTTACGATGTTTGCACGGTGAGGACGGGCGTTGTCATCCATAAACACAAGTTGTGCACCCGTGGCGAAACAAACGTACATGTTGTTCCAGAATGCCAAAAGATTTGGCTTGTCATGGTTCCAATTTGAACATGCAGGTCAGTTCTGGAACCCAGAATAATTCCACCCCAAACGAGCACTCCTGCAGCACCGTAACGGTGTCGTTCAGTGATGTTTTCTTGGTGGTAACGGGTACCTGGAACTCTCCATACGAAAGTCCGGCGAGAATCAGACTGCAAGCTAAACCTGGACTCGTCGGAAAACATCACACAAGCCCACTGTTGCGGTGTCCATAATGCGTGCTCTCTACTCCAGGCTAACCGCAGGCGACAGTGAGTTGCAGTAACTGGAACGCATCTGACAGGTCTACGAGCATATAGACCAATCTGCTCTAAGCGTCTGTACACGGTCTGCCTTTAGATTGTCGTACCAGTGGCTGAAGAGAGCTGACGAGACAGGTCTGAGGCTGTGCTCCGCCTGCTTCTTTTGGCAGTAACTGCCAAATACGGTCCTGATTCGGCGTTGTAACTCTGGGGCGACCTGTGCTGTAACGTCTATTCACATTGCCATCATCTTGGAATCGTTGCCAAAGCCTGGAGATGACACTCTGGGCAATTCCAAGTTCGTCTGATACTTCCAGTTGCGTACTCCCACATTCCAGACGGCCGATAATTCTACCACGTAAAAAATCATTAAAATGCGTCCTTTGTGTCATAACTATTCGGTTATTCCACTGAAATGCTTGTAAAGCGCCTGCGAACAATTTTACTTCTTTGCCTGTATTCCTTATATATCACTCTCTTACACTCTCGTCATTGTGACGTACCATCGGTGTCATCTGGTTACTTCCTGAAATTTGCATATGATTCTTGAAGATGTGTGTAGTGAATTTACAGGTGATATATTTATTTTAGAGTTCGATTTCCGAGTGACTCCGAATTATCCTTAATTTATGGACATGAGTGTAAAAGGGTGTTGGATGATGATTCTCCTCACCCAGGATTTGGTGATTAGGTCCCCTAAAAACCCCAGTCACCCTAAAAGGGGGAGTATATAACGTATTTCTCCAGCCTTCCTAGCGTGCTTTCGTGGTGTAGTGGTTCTGCACTCTGGACCTGTATTTCAGAGGTCCGTGGTTCGATTCCTGGCGAAAGCGTTGTTAATTTTTCATCTTGCCTGCTTCCAAAAAATACCTAATGTCTCTACAAGAGTATTAGGATGAGTATGTAATAAAGTATTAACATTATTATCCAAGAAAATACTTTTAATTTGGACTACAGGCGCACTTAAGTATCATTGTTATGAACTTTTTGCTTTCTGAATTTTATAATAATGGCTATTTTCATAGAAAAAGCTTCACAGAAACATACAAAAAAGAAATTAAAATAAAAAATCAAGGTTTTGTACAGTTGCATGACTTTGTTTTATATTAATTTCCTATTCAGTTATCATCTACTAATTATTTTAACTGGACAGAAATGAGATCTTAGATAGTGTAGATATAAATTTTACGAACCCTTCAGAATACTTATTTTTAAATGTGATCTTGAATTATTGCTAGTTTTTTAACTTATATCAGGAAAATTTTTTTTTCCAAAAGAGAGGTAGTATACGGTATTTTCTCCCTCCTTTCTACATGCTTTCGTGATGTAGCGGTAGCGCACTCGGCGCATTTTCGAGAAGTTCGGTTTCGAGTCCCGGCGAGGGCATTGCTTAATTTTCACCTCTTCTGCTTCAAAAGAGATCTAATGATTCTACAGTAGTAATGTTATTTTTCTGGTGGTTTCATTAGACGGAACTTCATTTGACATTATCACATTCCAAAAACTAATGTTTGTGAAATTGAAAACTTTCAATTATTTTAAATTTATAATAATCTGTAGCAATATGCTGTGTTAAAACTATAGTATACAGTAAAGAATATCAAGCTTTCCATACAAGTTTTACAAAGGTAACAACTTCAGAATACTTTACATGTTTTCCTGTCATTCAAATATCAAATTAAAGTTTAATATCTTTTCTACGATGCGGATTTTTTTTAATCACTAGTAATTTTAGAGCTCTATGATATGTACAATGCTTAAATAATTAATCGTGCGATTATAAACGTTACGCCGATAATCCTGATAACCACGTTTTTACGTGAATACATTGTCGAAATTTTACATATTATAACAATTTAAATAAATTAATCGCTAAATCTTTTCTACTATTATTCACTATGTTCTATCCACTTTAATACTTTTAATTGTTATTACATTTAAATGAATGTCAGAGAATTTTCTAGACTTAAGAAAATGCAGTTAAACATCCGATTTAATGAGTTCTCTTGGATAATGCTAGCATAATGGTTATATTTTTCTGACACGACAACTGGAAAAGACAGTTGATATCACCATCGGCGCCAGTAAATGTATTTGATCCCAAAAGTTACCTTGACCTCTTCAGAGGTTAAATTTCACTTCTCTCCAAGGTCAAAGATCCAGACCTCGCACATGAGATGAGTGTTGTTTGGTTGCTCGGTCAGAAGCCGCCGAAGACGTTGCACTATCGGTTGTCTACCGTTGGCAATCGTCGAGTTGTCACTATCCTTAGGATTATACTGTTTTTCTGTGGAAGTAAAAACGTTCGCCAGGTAATTAGTTGACTGCGTCGTCGAATAGATGCCCAGGTTCTTCAGCTAGGTAATGTTTCCTAGAATATTTAATAGATTCTTTTATTGAATTATTCATGAATATCATGCAAAATTGAATAGTATAACTAACCACAAACTAAATTCATATTTTTATAATGAATACAATTGATTTGTTGATTTTGATACTAATTACCAGATTCTTTGAAGACTATCCTAGTTAATTCTGTATGGTTTAAATCAAACAGAATTAAATAACGAACGAAACATCAAACTGAAATTCGTGTATGTATTGGAGAATTGATCGGCTTCATTGATTTTTGATAATATTTGCGATATTTAACGAATATTTAGAATTAATTTTACTCTCTGCTTGAGCATTTCTTAGATATATTTCTTCTTAAGATTTTGATGCAGGGTAACTAAACTATTATTTATCCACTTTAATCTAATTTTCAATTATTGACGAAGCGAACCATGCAGAATTGTAATTAATGTAATTTTTGTGAAATTCTGTTAAAAATGAATATTAAACGAACTTCGCAAATAATTATTTACTTATACTCTTTTCACTTTCATCCAGAATAAATCAATTTGGGGGAATAAATGATTGAGTTATAATGAAGGAATTAACGAGTTTTAAAAGATTCTTAAGCAAGCTTGCAATCTTCACATTCCCTGTTGTTCTTTTCAAAAATTTACTTGGGACTTCATCTGTTGCTTTCTCACGGTCAAGCTCATATTTTACGAATTAAGAGATCATCATTCGCGCACACCATTTCTTTGTAAAATTTAATTTTGTTTCAAATTGTCTTTGTTAGGTTGCTTTAGGTCACTTTTCACACACATGGTTTTGTTTTTTCCCATGTGTAACGTGTGTACGAGCCAGTTTTTCTTAGAAAGTCCTCCACGGAGACAGGCATATAAGAGAGCTTTGTTATAAACAAATAAAACAAACCAAACTACTAACATGGTTTGGTTTATTTTAATTATAGCAAAGTACTCGAGAAGTATCTGCTTAAAGGGGATGACTTCGTGGAGAACTTTCTAAGGGAAATGAATGAAAACCACAAAAACGCTCATGCAGCCAGCCCGTTCACCAGGATGCGAACCAGGGACCGAATTATCAGTGTTCAGCGACTTAACTACTTAACCTTTTTCACACAGAATTGTTGGCTTTGTTAGGTTGTTTTACGTCATTTTTCACACAGAACTGTTGAAATAAGGTGAATATTTATAGAAACCTTTGCAGAAACATTTTTAATTTTCCAATTTAGAGGTATGTTTAAAAATTTAAAAAATGTCTTCAGACACGTTTTCGTATTCATTTCACTTTGACGGAAAGCATTTTGTCGTAACTATTATCTTCTTAACCCAAATTACTGCAAATATTAGAAATCCGAAGCTAACTAAGCAGCTAAACGAAGCATTGCTAAACTATCTTGGTCCTACAGATGCATCATGTGTTTCAGAGACTTCCTCATTGAGTAATATAAACAGAAACAAATCTTCCATGGAAAGTCTTTAGACAATAAAGAATTTGTTTAAGGAAAAGAACTCTTTGTTGTGAGGGCTCTCAGCTGACATTGCTATTTGAATTTTAAAAAACTGACAAACTTGGTGTTTAACATATCACTCATTTCGTGTGTCTTGTTGAAAAAAATTGTGTTTACAGCAGTGAACAACTTATATCAAATGCAGGCTTATTAAATATTGAATTGCAAAATGATGCTAAATATAAATTAATATTAAAAAATCTTAATGGTTCAAACTAAATAAAACATTCATCGTAAATGCGTGTTTCAATTAATTGCTCTTGTTTTATTTCATAATGAATATAAGTTTGAAAGAGTGCAGCAAACAATTCTTAATTAATACTAATGTAAAAAAAAACACTGATGGGTAAAACTGATGCTAAAAAGTTACTTCTTAAAACCATTCTGGATACTTAAGGAAAAGTGTAGCAAACAATTATTAATTAATACTAATGTAAAAATCTAGCACTAATGGATAAATCTGATAATCAAAAGGTATTTCTCAAAACTATTCTGGATACTTAAAATTTCAATTATGTTAAAGTTTTGTTTTCATGACGTAATGATAACAGCTTATCTAAATTACATTCATCTAACATTTTTATGTAATAAAATATGTTGTGTAAGCTTGGTTAAAATCATAGTTTAAAATATAAAAACGTTTTCCCAATTTTAACTGAGACACTCTTTCTATGAATTATAGGGGCATATATAGCATCATTAGAACTTACGGTGAACACAGATGTTTAGGATTCGCATCTTAAGAGTGATCTAAATCAGGGATTCTCAAATTAGTTCCCATGAGGAGTGGATGAGGGATTTGTTATATCGTAGAGCACTAAAAAAAGTTTCGTAATAGTTTATCCTTATTTAAATGACTTAATAAACACTTTTTTGTCTTCATTAGTGTAAAATATTTTTAAAAAATGAATAAAACTAAAAAAAATTATTAAGTTAGAGAAAATGGAGGAGTTAGATTAGGTTATCTGAATAAGGCAAAATCCACGCTTAGATGAGGAATACCTTCGTTGAGGACTTTGTAAGGGAAACTAAGTGATATCGATGTTGTACATGGGGAGGGGTAGAAGCCACGAAAACCAACCATACAGCCATTCCGTTCGTCCTGACTGTGACCCGGTAGAATTGCTAGCATTCAGAGATCTTAATCACTCGGCCATTAGTGAGGCGTTAAAATGGAGAACTTACCTCTAAAATGCTTAAAGTTAAAAATGAACAAAATCTTACTTTTCGATGCCAGAAGTATCAGCATACGCATAATAATGTATTCCCAGTAATGAGATATTTCAAAAAGGTTATAATAGTGTCGAGAATGGACTGAGAAATTCTTTCCGTATCGTATTAGATCGTGCAAGTAGATTTTGGTCAGAAAAGACGTTATAGCAACTTTAACTGATTACAAATGCTGATGTGGTTAAATTGCTTGTTTCTTTTTAGTATTTTGCTCACATTTATTAAGAATTATTTTGCGTCAACAAAGTACTGAGGTAAAAAAAAAGAAAAAGTATTAGCTCTAATGAGGAAATAAATTGCACATTTTTCTTTAGTTCGAAATTTTTTGGTGAATCAGAAGCAGTAAATTATTTTAGATGAGAAGAAATTTGTACAAGTTTATCCGAAAGAAAAACAAGCTTCTAAACTACAGAATTAAAAGTAAGGAGAATTATTACAGCAGATGTGGGGATTTTAGATAGCATATTCTGGCTCGTTTTATTGTCACATGATTCAAAAATTTGTTTTATAAACCGAAGCAAGGTAAATAGTAGAATGGCTTTTGCACGTAATATTCTCAAATCCAGAAGAGAGAATAAAATATATTGATAAATAATGCTATAGTTTGTTTTTCAGGTGAGGGCAAGGGGGTAAGGTAAATAATCGAATTGGTATAATTTTCTAAGACGTTCAATCATAAAAAAAGAATAACTAAGGCTTCGTGATACGGGTTCCTATTTTCCAAGTTTAACTACTTCGTTTAAATTTTACTATGACATAACAGCACAAGTGAGAAGTTTATTTTCTTCATCCAAACTGTGTGTGGTAGATGATGTTTGGCCGAGAATACTGTATACTGTCATGAATTTAAACATACTACTTCTCAAGATCCTTAAAAATGTTACAGTTGAGATATGCATTAATGATACGGCTATCAACAAGACGATTTCTTTGACGACGACGAACTCAATTGAATCACTCATTTCCTTTATTATAAGTTTTACAAACCACAATTAAAGTTTACAAATTTGTACAGTATACGTAAATAATTATACAAAAGCAGTGATGACTACTTTTACGCGTTATTGCGTAATAGTTAAGAACAAAATTAACTCCTTTAAGCATACTGTTTCTACTATTTTTTATAAACCCTGTAATTGTATGAATTAATTTTCTCAAATTCTCATTTTAAAAAAGCGCAAATCGTAATATGAATAATGAAGATGTTTGCACATTTTTGACGAAAGACAGAAATCAGCGTTAATCGAAAAGGCATACAATTTGCGCTTGCTTTCGGATAGTTTGAAAATACAATGTTTTTTTTAAGATAATAATAAAACATTGCCTTTCAGCGAATTACTGCAAAATTACTTAACACATAATTGGAAATTTGTTTGGAATCTTAATTAAAGTAGTATCTTAAAACTACTACACAATCTTAAAAAACAATGCCTTATAAAAATTTTTTAGTGAAATATATATCAATAAGAACCTTGCAGGGTTTTCCTTATTTTGCATAACAAATTTATTTTAAGTTTGATTTCCTGTTCTAAACTTCTCAACTTCCCCTCACATTCTCTCGCCAGGATGTATATTTAAAGTTAAGTGAAGTGCTATAAAACGTGTGACTATATCAGTTTATTTACAGCGTGTTTCGCTAGCCGAGCGCACGTTTCGTTGTTATTTTGCGGTCACGCTCGTAAGCCTCTTGGCCTTATCAGATTAGTATCACGCCGGTTAGACTTCTGTGAGTCCACCTCTTAGGCGTAAACTTAAGTACACTCTTGCGCTATTTATTTTCAGAATGACTTGTATTATATTCTACGTTTTAGTTCCCCACCGCAAATGGACGGTGTTTTTGTAACACACGAAGTCCGTGCCTTTCTGTTAAATTAAGTAGATTAATAAAATATTATTTTTCATCCTTCTTCTGTGCCGGTAATTTATTCACGCCTGTGCGAGAATTTAACAGATACATTGTAGGATCTAATTTAGTTTATGTGAAATAAATGGAGATAGGTCTTATAACCTTACTTTTTTCAAATTTCATTACATTATTACTTTTGGGATTTTCGGGCATATTTTAAGACTTACACATCAAGTACGAGGTTAAACTTTTCCTGTGACGTTCAGATGCAGCGAAATAAGCATTTATGTACGCAAGTAACTGGCATTTGGATCTCGAGGAAACGACATCAAAAACAGTTAAGTAAATGATGAACATATATAAGTAAATTCGAGTTCCTGTGGCAGCCTGAAGGTCTAAAACCCGAATGGCTTATAATCGTTTCACGGTTTCTCCGAGCCGAGAACAACAGAAAACGGTTGTCGTAATGCAGTTGTTTCTCTTGGTCGCCCTTGACCAGGCTGTCTTTCAACTCCTCCAGTGCTTAAAATGCCGCTCAAAATGCTTGTTATGGCACTTGAGGGAAATTCAAATCTTGGGCGACGTCCATTTGTGTTTGATGTCCCTCGATTCTACCAATGATTCGCCACTTTTGAACTTCACCTAAATGATGTCTTTGAGTCATTACCGAATACTAATCACCCTCAGAAACCACATTAATTTAAAAAAAACACAGCAGACAGAAATTCCAACATGCGCCCATTGTGCACCACTTTGTCAATCACCGTATTTGCATATTTCCGGAGCTAACGCATGCTCAGAAGTGCAATTTTGTGTTCAGTTGTATTTAATTAACATAAATAATTACAATACTGGGCATCGGTTGCAACATTAATTTAATGAGTATATCTTTTCTCATTATCCTTTAATTATGATGACCAGTGTAAGTTATATGAAAACCTACATAATTCATATTATTCATCATGGTTTTTGTGTATATTCAACCCATTTAATTAGCACTGTAAAAGACTCAAAGATTGCTATCTTGTATAATTCAAGTAAGACTGGATTTATATATGCATACAAAAATAATTTAACTTCCCTACGTTTTTGGTCTTAAAAAACTAACAATGTAAGCATAAAAGGACTTCTAAATTTTTTCTAAGGCAAGGAAATCAATACTTTCTTGTTTGCGATCAATATGCTTGAAAAAATGTCATTTGAAGGTCTTTCTGAATTAAAGATAAATTTTTATGTATGCCTTAAAACTGTTCCTAGGACATTGCTGTAATGCCAGAAAACAATTACGTGTTAAGCGTTCATTGCTGCCTTTTTCTTTAATCAATAATGTACAAAATTAAAAATTCTAATATTTGAAACAAGGAGTTGTCAAGCTTATATCAGCTTTCAAGATCTTTCAGTATAAGCTCAGTTCGATGACCTTCTTAAATGTGTAATTTAGCAAAATTCAGAATTAAAAATCAGAAAAAAAGCTGTTTTTAATTACTTTTTCTCTTATAAGTATTTGGCATGGAATATATTGAACACATACTTGCAGATATTTTCGGTTGATAAAATGTAATGTGTATTTATGAAATATTTTCTTTTCAATACATTGTTATGGGATTTTGTCTACAAAATATTCCTCTCTTAGCTTATAAGCTTACCCTTTTTATAATTCTATTACTAATTAATTGTATGTTTTTGCTATGTTTTCTGCTTTTCTCCCGTTTTAGAAACAGACTTCGTTTTAAATAACAAACATACTTCTGAAACAAGTTTAAAGGAATATTTTTAATTTATCGAGTTCTAATAAATTAAAATAAAAATTTTATTTCGATGCTGGTCTTTACATTTAGAATAAATGAATATGGGCCTAAAATACAGCAAAAAATACTTTACATTAAATGCAGTATCTAAATTTAAGTTAATAACTCATAGCTTTGATACATTCTGACACTTAAATTTATGCATAAATAAAAGGCGTAAAGTTTTGAAGGTTACAACGTTAAAGACGGTTAACGGTAAAATAAAGACGTACCAAAATACTCGAAACGCTGCACAAAAAATAATGCCTTGCCACCTCTGTAGGAAAAAAGATTGTTGAAATTCAAGCTTTATGAACTCTGTTCTACGACAATTGTATTACTTTACTTTTTTGCGAGTTCGTATGACATTTGTTTTCTTATAGTGCAGAATTCTTTTTTCTTCTAGTTTTCTTCTAGTGCGTTTAAATGCAGAACTTTAAAGTGAAGATTTATTTATCAAATAAAATTTAGGTGAGAATATTTTTCATAAAAGCAATTTTATGATAAATTTATGAAAATACTTTGCATAGATGGATTCAACAAAAAGAGTTTCACACGTTTTTGTTTAATTTTTCCCATTACAAGCATTGTTGTATTCATGACCGATGTATATCAGTGAACTGTTCTGTTTCTGAATCAATACCTTTATGAGAAATTTCACGGTTTTCTAAACTTCTTTCGGCATTTTCAGTACTTTTTTTCAATTCTCTCATGCTAGTTAACTTAGATAACATGCACTGTGCACTTTAAAAAATTGAAGCGTTTCTTATTTTTTCAACTGCGTGTTAAACTTACTGTGAAGCGCCATGTGTTACCGAATTAGTAATTTATTCGACATTTACTTATTTAATTCAGGGTAAAGTTCGAAAAAAGCTTTAAATATTTTTATATTTAATGTTTTAGTTGCTTTGTATTTAATCTTTCTTACATATCTCTTTATATATCAGAACAATACAAATCAAAATGAGCCAACATCGAAACCATATTTAAAATAAAATGTTTATGCATTTTATTTCTTTTGCCAGCTATAAAATACTTCAACGAGTCACGCATCTGCCGTAAATCTGAGTCTCCTCACCTTTAACCAAATTAAAACAAATATGAAAATTTCATAAAATTTCATTTCAAGCAACAATTCTTTATCACTAAATTTCAGAATACATCCGCGTCCTTTCACCAAGGTTCTGTCAGAAGGACGCCATGAGAACAATGCATTGAAACCTATGTTCGATGTCATGTTTAGAAAAAATAAATCATGTGAAATCTTTCTTTTAGAATCACATAACTTTTATTAATGGAAAGTGTATTGTTTCAAACATAAGACTCGATTGAGCAAAGGTACACTAAGTATTCTCTGTCTCTCCCTTTGCATCTTCCCCCCGAATAGTCACGATATTCCAATCGCAGATTCTGAAGTCAGGATTCGAAGGCAGGCTGTTAACTCTTACTTTTAAATTCTGGCCACTTGGCTGCTAGGGCGCAGTTATATTAGTAACTAGAGCTAGTTTTCTCGCCTTTATTCTGGTAAGTGAATATATTTTCTCCAGTTATTTTTTCAAATGATGCACATTTCTGTGATTTCGATAAAATAGCTAGAATAACGCGAGATAAAGAAAATAACTTTTCCTGCAAAGAGAATAAGAACTTGAGCAAAAATTTTGCTTCTTTGCCGGTTAGAACAGAATTCTGAACTAGTGTATGCAGTACACATTTTTGAGAATAGTACCTATCAAGCAAGAACTGAGAGAGCTGGAGATATTTCTCTCGCAATAGGGCAAAGAGTTCTGTTGAGTTTTTGCCTGCAAAAATCTTTCAGAGAAAAAGTCGAATTTAGTTTTTACGTAAGTCGTTATTTATTTTAAGCAAAGGACTTTTATTACTATTTTGTACTTTCAGATAATTTTTTTTCAACATAAACTGACTTTTTAGATAAACTGTACAAGTTCTCATTGGTAAGAATTAAAATTTTTAAGAAATTCTACTTTATAAGTGAAATTTCTCCTTCATGTCAGAATACTTTTGTGTATTTTTATTAGTTTAATTACTGTTACCAAATAAACTGCCTAAAATTGCCTTATAGTATTATGATTATTATTTGATTCGTATAACTAATTTTGGTTCTATAGCATTTTTAAACATTTCATTCGAAGTTATGGAGCAGTAATTTAAAATTGGTACTTTCAACATTTAAAATTGTATGGTTACGCTATTAACGTTCCAACTAACTACTGAATAACCGTAAAAGACAGTCGGACAACTTGTCGCCCCGTCTAGAGGTATTACAAGCGAGCAAAAAAGCAAATAAAACTATTTATTAGCTCGTTGACTTGACAGTTATATAACCTGAAAACTAACAGAGCTAGAACTCCGCGTACTTGCAAATAGAGGACTTTTTCGACATGAATTCCTGTGCTTCAAGTGAATTCATGCATTTCGAAATACTAATAAAATGTAAGTTAAACCCAGGCTGCTTTGACTAATCATTCGCGAAGAATTACAGCAAGAAAAATCTTTCCGGAGAAGCTCATTGTAAACGGTAAAAATTTAATGTGAAGTAATAAATAGAGTAACTGTCAGACACTTTCTAATAAACTTTGAGACTTGATGCTTATTATTTATGCATTAACCCAATTGACAGACAAAGAACGTATAGAAATGTATAAAAATGACAAAGAAAATGATAACATAACTGATGAATTAAAATAAACCCCCAAAAATGTTGGATAAATGTACTTTGAAAGCAATAATAAGAAATAATTTGTAGTCCTTTAATTTTATATTATTAATATACGTTGAAGTATTTTTGGAAATGTGTTTTCAATTAATGTTTTCGAATTTTAGGTAAAAAATTTGATTTGAAGAAAAATGAAGGGAGTTACGTTAAGCATTTTGGCTTCTTTATTTCTTGCTCAAGTAAGTGCAGTTTTAATTATTAGTTATGAAAGCTTTTTTTAATTTCTCTGCCTCAAAGTTGTATTAGTGTAACTAAGTTATTCCCGATTATAATTTATTTATTTCATTTCAAGGATCTGATATTACCCAAAATTAACTGAAGAATATCCATTCGTTTAGTACCTTTGCTATGCAAAAAAACTATTTTGGCAAACATAAATGTATAAAACTTAAATTTTTAATAGTTTTTTCAGAATCTGTGCTAATGTGTTATCTTGTCTGTTGCATACAGAATATACATTCCGCTTACTGTGTTTTGGGCTTGATTCATTAATGTACAACTTTGAAGGCAGCACGTTTATCACTGACTAACTTCCTAAGTAAATTTTTTCTAATGCTACCTGTCTAAGAAGTATCATGCTAAGTCATGTTTCTAAGAAGCCACTGAATGCCATTGTAAAATTCTTATAATATGCTTTAATTGTTTCCTCCATTTCCCATTTCTGAATATTTTAAACACTGTTCTAATAACAGTGTCTCTCAAAAAGATGCGATTTCAATTTAAGGAACAAACAGTCTACAGCTTCAAAATCTGGTATGCGAATGATTAAGAAAAGTTATTTTTGTTTGACACTAAAATGTTTGAAGTTAGTTACACTGTGTGAAGAGGTATTCTTCTAAGAAGAAAAACGTTTACCTAATCAAATGTTTTTGGACTTGTTTTCAGAATTCTGTCTATATTTTGATCACATGATGTTTACTGTCTGCGTTTTAGATACAAACTCCTTAAGAAATGCTTTCTGTCAATTAAAAGAGAATCACCATTGTTGTCTTTACTCAAGAAACCGAACTTTCAAAAACCAAGATGATTTTTCTCTTTAAATATGCAGATGGTTGTTATTTTTTTGGTCTAGGTTGCAAGCACCAACTTTTGGCTCCAGTTACAATCGTCCCAACCAAAACAACACTTTGTTAATTCAGCTCTCAAAGTTCCTATTTTGCCATCTTTAGTGAAAGCCTTTATTGCTTATCATTGTCCAATCTTTTAATCAACTACAGCATACATAGGCTGTATAAAGTCAAACAGAAACTTCCATTTGAACTTCTCTGTAAGCAGACAATATTTTAAAGAAAATAAGTTGAGATATAATTAGCAATGACTGCCATTATTATCTTTCCTTCCCTATTATCGTTTAGAGGATTTTTTTTTTCAAAAACTTCAGGTCTTTGCAGCTGTGTTATGTGTGTAATATGAAAATCAAGTTTTTCTTTAATAGTGGACAAAGTGATTTTATATGAAGGCAAATATAGGTTCAAGCCACAGATCTGCCATTGATTAAATTGTGTTAATGTTTGATCCGTGTATCGAGTGGTCTATGTTGCAGTTTTACCATGTTTAATGTAACACAGAGTCATTAGGGCTTTTGAAGCAGGAGACTTGAAAAATGAGCAACGCCTTCGCCGGGAATCGAACTCTGGACCTCTCAAATACGCGCCGAGTGTGCTGTCGTTATACCATGAAGGCATGTTGGAAAGAGAGAGAAAATACCTTATACAGTATTGCTTTTATTGTTCGGTATGAATACACAAGAGCAGATAACAGCTGCGTAAAGTCAAGCAAATTATCGTCTTTAATAATTTTAACCGTTATCGTCTTTAATAATTTCAACCGTTATCTTTTGTACACTGTTATTATTTAGCGGTTTTTCTAGTTGAAATAATTAAGCCATAAAATTTTGTAAATGTATTATGTATGAAACTCGCTCGGTGTTTATTTTTCATGTTGAGGAAACTGATTTGTCATCATGGCAAACGTTGGTTAAATACATAACTAGATCAACAATTTTAGGAAAGAAATTCAGTCGAAACATACAGAATCGATCTCTGTTTTCTTATTCATTGTCCCTAAAAGATATGTTTGATGGAAAACACAGCACATTTGTACCTTTTATTCAGATCTAATCCCAGAAGTACATTCAACAGAATAGGAATCGCTAGAATTCCGACTTAGTTCATGATATTCTATAACTAAACCAGAAAAACAGTTATATATTATTGCTCTTAAAAGTAGGCCGTAAAAATTATTCAATAGAAAACAAAATTCTACATTTTATTGATATTTAACTTTTATAAGTAGCACTAAAAGATGTATGTACGGGAAATGATATGTCAAAAATGGCAGTGGATCTATTAATCAAAACAGCATGAGGTTCCATATGCTTAGAAGGAAAGTTAGCACGACATTAAACTACAAAGTGATGGTATCCTAAATAAAAAGGTTTAAGAGTATTTTAAAAAGTAATATTTCGTTTACATACATGTCTACCGTGGTCGCCGGTATGTAAGGGAATATTCCTTCCTTTAAAATAGCCTTTTGAAAAGTATAATTTTCTTAAGGTTATTATTTAAAAAATATGCGAAACTAATTTATCACTTAATAACTCTTAAAAGAAAGCATATTAGTTTTACTTTAAGGTATGTTTTCACAGAAGTATTCCTGCACTGCAGATAACTGAGTACGTTGTCGTGATTAATTGACCAGACTGTTTAACCTAATTATAAAAATGTTAGCCCCCCAACCGGGATAGTGACTGCCGTACCGAAGGGCCCGGCCTCGAATCCCAGAGAAGACATGGATGTTTGTAAATATATAGTGTCTGTGCGGCATAGGGGCATTCAAAATATGAGGAGAGTCGAAAGTCCTCTCGAAAGGTTTGTGACAGGGAAGGAGGGGTTGAAAACCCTCGGACCCTTCCCCCTGGAGTGCTCTCCTTCAAAATTGGGGACGGAACTGAGAAAAGTTGTACTGTCATATGTATGGTGCCTAAGGCTCTTGCCAGCGACAGGAGCAATCTTTCCTTCTTGCCACGATGAATTTCGTGCCCTTGTTCTGATATTAGACAAGCGAGATTAGTCACACCAACAACAAAAATGTTAACTATTGCTATTTATTAATTCCTCGAATTCAGATTTGGTGTATTATTAAAAACAGTTTAAAATTCTTTAGGTTAATAACACGAGCTGATTCAAAATGACTTCTAGGTTATCCTAAGTTTCACGAGGGAACTGACAATTTCTAAATTCTTATTATTCTTACAATCCCTTAAGCATAAAAAATACAGTTTTTCTGGAAATCTTTATCAAGAGATTCATATGAAAAAGTCGTATCAATATTTAACAAGAGTAGTTTTGAGAATAAAATGCCATAATTTGTATTGGTTTAGTTAGCAAATTGCTTTTGCAGCTATGAATATTATCTGGTGCTCTGAAACAGCTGAATAATGATGTTCTGTTTTATGAGATTCTTTAGAAGTATTCACCAAGTAATGAGATATGTTAAGGAGCATATTATCCACCTCTCTCTCACTTCTCACTGAAAGCCTTCCATTAAAGGTTTGGTTGGTTATTTGAATATGACACGAACGCTGACTAGAGAGAGGATGTCTTCGTAGAGGACTTCCTAAGTAAACTGGTTCATGTACACATTACATATGATGACAACCATGAAAAATCTGTCATGCAGCCACCTGTTCACCTGGGTTTGAACCCAGGGTGATCTATAACCGCTCGGCCTCTAGTGGGGACATTCCATTCAAGATAATTACGCATAAACACAAAAGTCTGCGGGCCAATACAAATGCCTAATATTGAAAAAAGCAGCAGGGTATGGGAGCATGGTACATATGTAAAATACATGTTTTTTTAGAAGAGGGAATTATCCAAAAATGAAGTTACAGAACAAAGCAAAAATATTATTTAAATTTAACATCATATGATTGAAGTATATATATATATGCTTCAATAATATGAGGAAGTATATATATATGGAGGGAGATCGTGTAAGGAAAAAAGAGCAATTTTTTAAAATTTCTAATCTATGCTAGTATTTGCTAGGATTTTAATTCTGCAACAAATCGCAATCTTCCAGTCTCCGTGAGAGAGGAATTATGGTAATTCCTGTCTAATTTCATTCCAGATCTTTTGCAAGGTAGCTTTCAAAGAATTTCAGTTTGTCAAATTAAATTTTTTTGACGTATTTCTATTACTTCTCATGTATAATCAGCAGAAATGAAATATATTTGATTTGTAAACGTAGCATAAAAGCCTTATCTTCAAAATCTAAAGGGTGTACTTAAGATCGTTATCTCGTTGAAAAATATTGCTGTTTTCATACTCTAACCTACCCATAGATCAATGCAAATTACTAACAGTATGTTTAAATATAATATTGAATAGTGTATACTTAAAATTACCTTCTCCTAACTCAATATTCTGCTTATCTTTAATTTTTCAAAATACAACTGTAGATTTATTAACCCTTTTTGTGTACACCTGTGTATGTGCGTGTATGAGCAAGAATCAATGTACCTTTCAACAGGAGTTTAACCCCTGGCTCACTGATTGCTAGTTAGGTCTTCTGATTTATGGGATATAGTAGGAAAATAAAAGGAATGCTTGTAATTCTTTACCCATATCTATATCTTAAAATATGCAATTTTAAGTAGAAATTTAAATTTGATTTCCTTACCCGTTGTTATCACGTTCTTGACTATGTTATATGTAATGCATCGCATGTCATCGGCGCATAATCTGATAATCCTTTCTAAATATTTTTCACCAAAGAGTTGTTAGCATAATTAACTTGATCTGATTTTAATTCAAGCCATGCAATGACTTTAATGAAAGTAGGATAAAAAATTTCGCTTAAGCGTTATCACCATAAGCAGAGTTTCGAGTGATAATTACTCGTACTTTGATGCTTATTAGTTATTCAAGTAAGTCTTTTTATTTGTATATAATTATCTTATATTCTAACCATAAACTCTTTGTTTCAGAGATTTCAGGCGACTTATGTTCTACGGCTTAAGCCTTCACTAATATATAAAATTCATAAAATAAAATTAATATAAATAAAATATAAATAAAATTATCTGTTTAACTTTATCGGCTCGCTATCACCAGAGACGGAGGTATTTGCAAAACTAGAGATGCACACATTACAGACATTAATCATTACATTG